TAGTCAATTTTATAGTCCGGTTATCCGGATAACCTAACAGTTAACCGGTTATGATACCTTAGGGTACGAGCACTATATGTGGGCGATCGATCGGGATCGGGAGCATCGATATGGTGTAATAAGTAATGACGGATGGGATGATTAATTGGGTGATTAATTAAAAAATTATATAGTAGCATATGGGAAATATATTTAAGTTATGGGAAATGACATAAATAATGAAATTCAAGAGTAAAGTCAATAAAAAAAATAAATTAGTCAATCTTTTACACATAGTACGAGGAACGTATTTTTGGTATTGCACGGCTACAGAACGATACTGAATTGCATTTACAATAAACAGCAATCAAGTAGTACCAATCGACCTATCAAATACACTTGAGAGGAAAAATCTGGTATTTGCTCTCGTACATAGTTTCCGTTATGTCTTGCCTGGACAACTACAGTTCATAAATAACAAGGTTTGACATTACCGCAAGCTGTCAAAAATATTGGAAATAAAGAATTTGCAACAGGGCTTTCATTCGTAGGGGTATTAAGGGTTCACACCCTTAACGACGATAGTGCATTCTCTTTTGACAGGCTATAAAAATTAGGACGAAGTGCACGTTTGCAACAAAGATTATTAGAAAAATATAATATTAAAAATAGAGAATTGCTATTTTCACCCCCCACTTTTGCTAATCCCACCCCCCCAAATGTCAAAAATTGCTCCGGATGAGGTTTTTTATTAAGTAAATCATAATTTTGACTTTAATAAAAGTTGTTCATCGGTCATTTCCGGTTCTAACGGTAGTAAAATCATTAAAATCGGACCAGTAGTTCCTAAGATATATATGTTTGAAGTTAGTTATCTTATATTTGCCTTTTTAAAAAAAAACCTATTGGTCCGATTTTGATGATTTTACTACCATTAGAACCGGAAAGGCCTGATGAACAACTTTTATTAAGGTCAAAATTAGGATTTACTTAATAAAAATACCTCTTCCGGAGCATTTTTTAAAATTTGGGGTGGGATTAGCAAAAGTGGGGGGTGAAAATAGTAACTCTCTAAAAATAATAGGAATTCATAAAATTTAAATATGTATTGAGGCTCCAGCCTATAAAACGTCGCCGTTTTTCTAGTTTATAAAAACAATTGAATATTGTACGTGATAAGAGAATTTATGAAGAATGTAGTTTATTTAATAAGGAATAATACCAAGAACAGAGAGCATAGTTATCAAATTTAATTACATTAACCAAATTAATCTCACTAATCTAATAAATTCCATTAGCCAAATAATCCAATTATATAGTTTGATAAATTTAAGAAATTTGATAAATCAAGTGAAACTAAGGGTGTTCTCAAGCACCTTAATTAACCCGTCGGAATGGATCTTAGGTTAAATTTTTGTTAGTAAAAAAATAGTTTACCAAATCAATTGTTTTGATTATTTCAATGAATAAACATGGAATGACTAGCGGAAGTTCGTTTAACAAATCAAGGGTATTTATCATTCCAATAAATAAGAGATAGAGGCCCAAACGTCCTTTTTTTATTACAGAGTTGCATTTATTGATCGAATTCTTTCATTATTATCATTATGAATTTTCCGAATCATTATCAACATCGACGAATTATTACCATATTACTGATACTAAAAATATTCGCCGAAAATAAAAAAGGCACGTTTTTGCGTTCTGTTGGTTCGTAGTAAATTCTGAAAAAGAAGAAACAAAATTTGAAAATCTCGTAAATTCTTTATCCTTTCATTGATCCATCATTTTCATTATTTTATTTTATTTTATTTTTTGTTATTTTTTTTTATTTTGATTTGTACAGTAAAAATGATAATTGCTAAATGGTAATAATGATAAAAACGGTTGCTCAAGCATTGATTGTAATCAATATTTTAATTAATCATAATACTTGAGCAACAACACGATCATAAATTATGAGCATATTATTATCCATACTATCGTTTCTCAAAAAATAGTCTAATTAATAACGCCATATCTCAATTAATCGCTATCACATCGAGCGTGCTGCTTGAGAACACCCTAAATTGGTTCGAGAAACTTAGAGATGGGAATTGATTGACAAACTGCAGCTTGTACATGTGAATTTAACTGTTTAATTGGGGGTTACAACAGAATAACTAATCAAAAAAGGATATGTCCAATTTTTTACCTGAGCCTGGGAATATTAGATTCGGTATAGTATTTGCATTTTTTTTTGTAATTACAACATTACATAAGATCTTGAATCTTGGCTTAGTGATCCGATATTTCGTTCTTGCTATGGTTGGCTACTTACAAATTGTCCTCATCATTTTACGCAGTTACCACTGCGATCTACCGCCTATATAGTATCTGTTAGAATATGCAAGTTTACATTTTAGGACTTTTGGCTATAATGCTGATTCACATGTTGATCCACTAGAATATTCTAAATTTCGAATAAATCCAAATGAAGAAATAAACAATGGGCCAAAAAAAAATAAGAAATAGATAAAAGATGGCCAAATAAAATCACAAAAGAGATAAAGGAAAAAAAATAAAAGGAATTGTTATGTATGTATGTATGTACGTACGTATACAAGTTTCAGAGAATCGTGACACCTGACACGGAATTCTTTTATACATGCTTATATTGGTATTATGCTACACGTGTGATCGCATAAATAATAAACAGAAAGTTCTTTTTCCAGAGTCAAAAAAAACTTAAATATTGTCTTCCAAAGATTGCAATCCGGAACTCAAATTCATTATGTTGGCAGAACCAGATAACCATTTACTAAATAAAGCTATTTGGTTGACGAATAACCTCTTTTTAGTATCATAATAGGAGATTGTATTGCTCAATCCGATAATATGCATCTACCCATGGAAAGTTAAAGCTACTACGACTTTGAAAATATTTAAACGCTCGATATTCCGTAAAATTTTTAAATGATAAAATGTCGCCGTTAAATGATTCACTCATAGGTTTTATTCAAAATCCTATCCCTCAATATGTACTTGTTTGTTTGCCAGCTGCAGCTACTATTGGCACCTCGCCATATTCTAGTCTTAAAAAGAAAATGTTTTGGTTATTACGTTGCCTTGGATGCCCTTTTACAGGATTGTTTTATTCCTGCAACACAGCAGACAATACAATTACCAAGTGCATATATTGGCTTTCGTCAAAGCACTTTCGTACTAAAGGAGAGGAAAGCAATTCTTCCCCTTTTTGTAGACCCGTTGGACATTTTTCAATGATAGTTGATCCAACCGAAGAACAAAAAGAGAGAATGGGTCACTGTGTCTCAAATCCGACCTTGTTAGAAAGAATTTCATCAGGGGTATCATTTTATTATATCTGCGCTGGTATGTTCGTTGGTATCTCTAGAATAATAGGGCCTTGTTCAGAAGAGGATTGGCCATACATACCATTAGCATTGGCTTGGACATTACCAGCAGTTGTTAAAAGAATACGCGGAGCGAAAATTGTAATTAAAGATCCTAGAAAGGAACTACAAGAAAACGAGCAAATATTGGTGTTTAAACACCCAGAAACGGATGTAGATGATAAGAATAATACAGATGCTCATGTTTTTATCACTGCTTTAGCTTCAATAGTAATCCCTTGGATAGTAGTACTCTTGGCTTACTTTACAGCACCAATAGGGTTTGGATGTCGAGCTAAATTCCTCTCGATATTATGTACCATATGGACAATCAATAGTACTATCGCTTATTTATATCATATGTTTGGTAAAGAAAAATATGTTAGCGGTAGTAGAGTTATTAATGGCATTTTTTGTGCTAGTGGCTGTATAATTTCAATTCTTTTGTTTATACTCGGCTTGTTAAGCTATTCAACATCATGGTGGACTAGTTTATTTGGACAAATTTGTGATATATCTAATGTATGTACAGGATAATTCCTATTTTTACCTTTTATTTTTATGTATGCAATGTATATATTTAGTATATGTATATTATATTCGTATATGTATATTTTATTCTTATAGGTATTATATTTACTGTACTGTATATAGATATTATATTTATATATGCAATAGATTGTAAACTCTTGTCATAATTACGTGAGATTGAAATTTATCGCATAAATTTGTCCTATTATTTTTTATTGCTAAATATTTCAATTTATTTATACATGAATAATTTTAATATATTTATTGTAGAAAAGGCATTATTAAAGATGCTTGAATTTTACAGAATTGATAATAAATTTATTCCTAATTGTAAATAAATTCTATTTTACTAAGCTTACTCGTATTCATTATTGCGTGTATTGCTGATTTATTCTTCTCTCCTCCCGGTTTAATCGGTTTAATTTTATAATCTTAACCCTGTATTAATTAACAATCTTTAAATTTATAATCTTAACCCTGCATTAATTAACAATCTTTAAATTACATAATTTATAAACCTTTATATATAAGTTATGCCAAAAAATATATATTATAGATTACGTGAAAAAGTTGCCATCCGCAACACGTCGGTTTATCTCTGATAATTAATACTGTAATGTCCAAGTTATTAGATTAAAATATTCGCCATATTGTAATAATAGCAAATTGACTAAGTAAATGTAGATGAGATAAACGCACGAAGAAATATAGTATAGGTGAAACTTCGGCAGACTGTCATAGATTATTATATGATATGGGCTTGGTGCTGCAAAAAAGAAGGAAAGCATTTTTTCAAAAATATCTTTTTTTTACATAAATTAAATAAAGTTGAGATTATTTTTATTTAAGACAAAAACAGACAAAAATAGTCGAATTATAAAATTTTTCAATATAGATTATTAAAGTTTGCATTTTTCCTAAATATATTATTTAAAAAATATAAAATTTTTCCGGACAACTTTTTTTTTTGCTATTTCCCTCTATTTACACTACCCAATCCATGCAATAATTAGCAGAAATTATCACTTACTGTATTGGGCTACGAAATTTAAGAATCGTTATTCACAATAAAAGATTAATTTAGTATACTTTACATCTTCAGAATTATTTCATCAAATTTAGATTTTATTTTAAGTTATTACAAGATGAAAGGATTATAATATTCTTTGTATTCAAGTAGATCGAAGCATAAAGTAGCTATACTAACCAGTAAAAGTCCGGAGCTTAAAGTTTCTTAATAAACATTGATATTCGCCAAGAAATATTGGAAAAATTCTATAGCATTATGATCACGATATTTTTGTTCAAAATTTTCAGGGACATCACGTTTTTCGTACTTTTTTATTATTGATTTATCATAAATGTAATTTAGTCATCAAAGCGCATAGAAATATAAGTCGGTCGGTTCGCTCCAGGATAGTAAATTCTGAGATTTTAATAAAGCATAGTAATTTTATATAATGAACGTTTTTGAAGAAAGTGTTGTCTGCAATTTTTTATAATAATGAATAGTAATGAGAGTAATTTAAATATTTTACTGTATAAAGAACTACAGTAGAAAATAATATTATAAAAATGGAAACAGCGTAAGAAAAGTTATCTGTGAATCTAAAGACATTATAAAAATGGTATCGAAGCAATTTTAATTCATGAATACAGAATAAGGATGACATGAAAATTTAATGAATTTATATATGTTTTTTTTAGTAACATAAAAATATAATCATGACTAAGGTTTTAATTTGAATTAAAAATTGATCTAAGAGTGTCTCGGGTCGATTAATAATCTATGATTGACGCAAAATAAAAGGTCGACTAAATCAACACATAATAATTACATTTTTGGCGAAGTGTTGTTCGATCATGTTTATCAGGTTTAGCAACTTTTGTACGGACTTATATTGACGAGGATTTTGAGAAGAATTTTCTTATTCGATTTTTTTTTTGTTGAATTTTGTTATAAATTTAAATTACGCAGTCGAATATAATTACGTCATAATGTATTAACCATTTTTAACAGATTTAAATAAAACAAACATGATTTTTAAGATCGTGTTTTAAAACATTTGTCATTCCTACTTACGGTATTGTAAAACTTGGTATACGTAGTACCGAAGATTAACGTTATGGCTCTATCTTTTGACAAATAATTTTTTTATCTTAATCGTAACTTCTTTATTTATTTTTTTATTTTTTTATTTTTTTATTTTTTTATTTTTTTATTTTTTTATTTTTTTATTTTTTTATTTTTTTAT